GTTCCCTCTCTCGCTCTCTCCTATGTAAGCATGTGTTATATGTGAAGTAGTGACCGTAACGGTCGATTAACTGTATTATATTCATGATGTTCAATCTATACTCATCAGTTCTTCTCATCACATGTATTATTTTTATCTTTCTACCTTTACATCATTGTTCTTCCTTTTCTCTCTCCTAATTGCGTATATAAACGTATCCTTTATATGTAAACGAGGCGATTGTATTATATGAAGGATTATAATAAAGTGTAACTCCATCTGCACTAATATATATTCTATTATAAATCATCACATTTGACGATTGATGATATGAAGAAGCTCAATGAAGTATAATTCCATCAGTGCTAACACTTCTTCTATCTGAAAATCGTCATACACTTTCTTCACATTTAATATTTTCTCCATAGTCAACGAACGTCACATGTTTGACTAACAATCTTCTGTAATGCCGAGGAAACTTGCCCGTAGAGTAATAATTAGAATCATGTTATTTATTCACCTATGATTGTCTGATGCGTTACTTCTTGGTAAAATTCCACGTATTGTAACACATTATTAGTAAGAACTTTTCTAATACATCCAATAACATGAAAAAAGTGGACTAATTAAGAGATTGCATTTAGATCAGGATACTAAAAAATGAATATGCGAGCTTGTGTGAGTCTCGATGCCAGTTGTTTGGTCTTCCACAAAGATACACGTACACTCAATGAGCCGAGATTTTCGATAAAAGAAATGATTTCTCAACTTCAAGCTTCCTCAAGATTAGTGCTTCTTTGGAGGCGTGTACAATGAATTGGACGCATTCTCTTGAATATTCATTCATCTTTTGTCGGTTGGCTTAGCTTTATAGAAGTCAAAACAAATGCATAAAAATCTAGTTTTATAAATGTTAAAATATACTCATCTATTCGCATAGAAAAATCAAGTGTGTGGCGTTCACATAATCGAACATACTCGACTTTGTGGATTTACCAGTGTACTTTTCACTCTGTCTAGACGCTTATTGACTTTCTCAGATTTCACCGTTGCTGTGGTCGATCGTTTCATTTCCAGCAGATATCGTTAAGGCTTTTCGATGTGTACTTCAAGTATGCCGTCTCTCAGTAGACTGAGGACTTTCTCGTCGACAATTGATGGATAGCGTGTATTTCGGCGTGACACAAGCGAGAACACACTTCGCATGCCGAATACCCGCATCGATCTTCTCGAAAGTGAATCGCCACCACCCATCTGAAAGATGCCGAGCCAACACCGATAGCCGAGTTGTGTCAATCGTTTGTACAGTGCGACAACGTCCAATTGACGATCCCATTTGTAGGAGATTATTACTTGAGGATGCGTGACTACCAGTGATGTGTTATCAGTGACTTGTTCTTTTTTGATCACTTGGTCATTGTCCGTGTTGGTCGTTAGTTGCAAAAAGATAAGATTATCAACACGAGGTACAAACCAGTCCCGATAGCGGTCGGTGATCATGTCAAAATCGGGCGTCACATGATAATGAATCTGACCGAGAAGTTCGGTGAACTTGTCCGCGGCCCAGAAATCCGGATCATTGCCTTTGCGATCAAAGAAGCGAATGAAGAGATATTCACTCATAATAAGACCTAATGCTCTTTCGGGTGGCCACTTTTGTTTCTCCATTTGCAAGGAAATCAAGAGTTTGCCGGTACTCACGGCCAAATGCACTTCCCGTGAACAGTTTTCTGATTGAGCATAAACCGTGTTCATGCAACAAACCACGACTTTGGCACCACCCATCTGGCCGGTATCCATCCAACAGGCATAGCCCGTTTCTTCCAAATGACTTTTCAAGTCCAACACGGCCTGTTGCAAGTTCCATTGGATAAGACAGAAGCACTGGAGGCAATCGTTTGATATCGAAGGACATATCGTCAGGAATGAGATCACTTGCAGCAGCCATTGCGTCTCGAATGATCTTAGCGACATCTTGTCGATCAATCTCGTCAAGTATTTTCAATAGACCGTAGATCTCTGCATCAGTTTTATGTGTCATGAACCATTCGTTCTGTAGAGTCATGGTCGGATCGATTTGCAGCGCCCAATGACGCAATTCACTGGTCGAATAGCCGAAACGTTTACCAAGCAAACGCCAATCGTTGTGGGTGGGTGTGGGTGTCTCCTTTTGTTCAAGATTCACATCCACATCTCCAACTCCACACTCACACCCATCAAATACACCATCTTTGCAATTAATGTTCAAAATATCAAAACATTCTGATTTTTCTAAATCGTCTTGTTTCTGGAAAGTATGGAAAGCATGAGCAACAATGAAATGATTATGCATCTAGGATGTGAGCGGAGAGAAAGACCCTCACCCGCGCTTCCTCTCAATTGATTTCCGAATAAGTCATCGATCAAATCCAATTTTTCAAGATTTCAACAGACAAAAAAACCGAGATGTGTGCGATCTTTTATTGAAGAAACACAGTATCGATTTCAGAGAAATTTTGCATGAGAACCATTAGTTTGATATCATCTCAAATCTATCTTGATACATTTCTTTTGACATAAACAAAGATACATCGAAGATGAAAAGGTGATTGCTGAAAAGAAAATGAAAAAATATGTTCCGTGCAGGAATCGAACCTGCGACCTTCTGTGTGTGAGACAGATGCGATAGCCACTTCGCTAACAGAACGATAAGCACTGTATATCCATTTCTATTCATTCTATATAAATTGAGTAAAACCATTTTCTGAAAACGATTCTTGCTCGACTAAAGAAGTCGTTTCGAAATCCGGCATGAGGGTGTGGAGTGTGGGTGTAAGTATTATACTAATACTTCTTCGAATTCGATGAAAATAGAGCTTGAACCGAGTTTTGTTTTCGAAACGAACTGTTCACTCTTAGTAACATAGAAAGAATTACAATAACTGAAAGTAGTCATATGTCACGGAACGATTAAAAATTATCAGTACAAATTCTACATACAAACAACAGCTTTAGTGATTCAAAAGCAGTTTTACTTTTGATCTCACTTCTTTCGTCTCGTTTATCGTTGCTGAACATGAGGCGTTCGTACTAGAGAAGACAACATTCTCCATTTTAATATCAAAAGCTTTCTTAGAATATACTGAAACAACTGGGATGATAGCATCTTATCACAGACTTATTGTTCTTTATATTTTACAATCGACTTCAAAAAACCATAGATTACTCTATGCATTGGGCAAGTCGTAGAGAATAAATCAGACTGATGATATTACTGATGACTCAACTAGTTAGTTATGAAGAGACAGTTTCTCTTGTCAAATCACTATTCCTATAATATCATATCAAATATTTGAGGTACAAACGCCCAATGAAAATCCAATCTCTTTTCTTGAATTCAAAGATAAAACTTGGAAGCAAATCTTTTTACACAAGCGTTAGTTTTTCTCGATTGCTTTCATTTTTCTTTTATCTAGAATGTGATCATACATCGCCACTTCAACAATTAATTGAAAAATCCCGTGACGATTCAAATGCTATTTTCATAGACAATATCGTAGACGATGAAAACATCTGCCTTCTTACCGAAGAGTGTCAATGAAACATGCGTAGATGGCAATCATTGAACTTGTGAAACAGCAATATAGGACCCGATGGAGCTATTTATATCAACCAAATTCTACAAAACTCAAGACTTACTTATCTTCACCTCGGCAGAAATAACTTGGGCCCGCAAGGTATAGCACAACTCCATGCTCTTAACAAGAATCATTATCTAATCGAATTTGATTTGTGGGATAATAAAATCAATGATAAAGGTATCGAGCAGTGGTGGGCATGGTTCGAGTTTTTCAGAATTTAAACTGAACCGAAACCAAAATCTTTAAACCGAACCGAACCGAACCGAACTGAACCGAAAATGAAATTCTTAAAAAATTGTATAAAGATAACTAAGACTGTGATCTTAATTTTAACTCGCGTATCTAAGCTTGGATGATTGTAATTATAATAAATATATATAAATATTTATCTTTGTACTAATTATTGTTTATCTTTATTTTATTCGTGTTCAAAATAGTTAATTTTATATAAATATGTACTATACAAAAAACAAAGCAAAAGACACTAGAAGACATACATACATTAAAAAAAGTAAGAATATCAGAAAAAACATTCAAGTGTTTATAAATACCATTTCTTGAGATTGGTTATTTGTTTTGTGCATTTTTTCTTTTATATTTTTCGAACGAGTTTTGAAAAATAATATCATTCACTGTTTCGAGAGATAATTTTGAACGTTTTTTGTGTACTCAAAAAGTGAGTACACTCTAGAATCGGTCAGTGTGTCCGGCCGTCCGTCCGTCCGGCCGTCCGGCCGTCCGTCCGTTTACACGATAACTTTTGAAAGGAGAGTCAGATCGCGATGAAATTTTCTACACAGTTTAGTCTTAACAATATCTCGGTCGAGTTCGAAGATGAGAAGGATTGGCCGAACCATTGCTGAGTTATTGCAAAAATAGTCATTTTTCCCTATGAGAAGATAGACCCTTCTCTGTTTTCATAAAAAACTTTTCCTATCATAGTCATATAAAACCCCAACTATTATATACTATTCGATAGAGAATTTCACGAGCTACAAAATGGTATATAAAACATAAAGAAACAAGAAAGCTAACTCGCCTATTGCAAAGATAATTAATCGGAATTCGGTTCTGTTTTTGTCCACGCTCTATGTGACCCACAATTAGAGCTCTATCTTCCCATCACAGAGATGATAGTTCGAGGTTTTCTAGAATGGAGAACTCAGATCTATGTTCCATTCGCCTCGAAATCCCATTGGTTGAACGGTAACCAATAGAAATCAAGTTATAGGAAAAACGAGTTTCATAGGGTAAATCAAGGTGAAGAGTTCAAATCTGAGCTCTATTCATCTCTAAATCCTATTGGTTGAGCAGTAGCCAATAGAAATCAAGTGTTTACAGAAAGGGTTTGCCAGGACAATTTTGATGTGCACACATTCTAGGGTGACTCATCTGTCTCATTCACTTTTTGAAGTACACATAACTCTCGGATTTCAATCCGAGGTTTCCACATTTATTAGTTACAATATTTCCAGCTAAAGAAAACTCCCTTTCAACAGCAGCACTAGTTGCTGGTACTGCAAATACTCGTTTGGCAATTTTTGCTAAACGTGGATATAATGAATGATTTTGCTTCCAAAAATGTAATGGATTATATTCTTGATCAGATGATGGAGAAGCATTGGCAGAGCAGGATTCGTTTGATTTATATATTCCAAATTTCAAGTAATTATCGATCTCTGCTTGATGTATTGCAGTAGTTGTTACTGGTAAATCATCATATTCATCCTCTTCTTCATAGTATTGTTGCATTATTCGATCAGTTATATTTTGTTTATCATATGTTTTACGTTTTGATATGTCACTGTTATCAATTGATTGTGTATCACTATCAAATGCATCAAACATAATCATTTCTTGTTTAATATATTCTAAACATGATTGTCGTTGACTATTGGTACATTGTTTCATTTTTCTAGTTCTTGGATTCAAGAATAAAGTCATGAGATGAATGGGATGATAATCAAGCATTGCATCAATCAATATTTTTCCACGTTGACGAAAAAACATCATATCTATTATAACACATATAAACGAAAATAGTCTAACTGTAATCATTTATTTCAATAATGCTTACCTTTATCATGTTCGAATTTTGTATCATGAAAAACGAATTCCAAACTTGTTTTTAAACTTTCAATACCAGGTATAACAATGTGAATTGATGGTATATTCGTCGATTGTAATCGTGTTGACACATGTTTCCATGGTTTCAAGAATTCGATGATTCTTTCCAATAAAACAACATTTATTTTTTCTAAACGTTTTTTATTTAATTCTTTTTCTTCAAATATTTGATTTAATGGTAAAAATGATTTTAGCACAGCTTCAAGACAATCAAACATTGATAACCATCGAATGATTGTACTTTGTATTAATCGAGGAGATTTTTTATCTTCAAGAGCTTGATTAATGTTTACCTAAAGTAATTGAGGCAAAGGTTTTATCATTAAATATAGTTTTCTGAGAAGTTTTATGAAGTACATACTAATTTAACATATTTTACTAACTGCTTTACAGAAAGAATTAAAGTAATAATACGTGTTGCTTCAGGTGGAATCTCTGACTCCAACATAACTAAATGATTATGTTTAACTGTCACAATAGTTGACGTAGAATTATTTATTTTTTGTTGGTGATGTTGTCGTCGTTGATTTGTTGGTGGATGTTGTTGTATTTGTGTTGTTCTCGTCAGTGTGAACATCTTTTTATTAGTCTATCGCTATACACCGATAGAATTGAGATATGATACTCTCTTCTGATTAATTTAAAATTAATATCATACGGTGACACAAAAGTGTTGCTCATGAAATAAGGAAGCCGCTAGATAAACTTACAGTACACGCATTGAAACTCTTTAGTGAAGAAAATCTAACAGTCTGAATGGAGCTCAAATTTTCTAGGGAGAGCTCAACTACCTCTAGCTCACCCAGGCCCCGCCACTAATTCGTAAACTTCAACTTGATATTTGATTGTTCACAAAACATTTATTTCACATGCATATAAGATCATAAGAAATTCATAGAAACATACAGGTATTCATGTAATATCTTTCTACATGATCAAGATTTATAACTAAGGAAATGACTGACTTCTAGTCTTATTTATTTTAAAATTTCAATTTTCAATACAACAAGAATCTCTATTCATATTGTCTGACTCATTGTTCGAGGAATTTCTCTGATCGTCATCACAGAAGTAGCTATTCGTCGCTGTATTTTAATTGTTTCATATATTTGTGGTGTAATCAATGCAAAACCAATCGATCCCAAAAGAAATCCACCAGATATACTCAATCCTTGTAAATGATAAGCGATGGGAATTAAATAATTAGTAATAATATAGTACATCAATGTAAATACTGTAGCTAAACCAACACCCATTGCAGCAAGTACAAGAATTACAATATTTTTAAGAACCTGTAAATCTCGTTTATTACGAGTTTGCCGTTGTTGTTGAACATGAATTGTTCGACGCGTATGTCGAATAATATACGCATACATGAAGCATATGCTGAATATAGGACCACAATACATGATTATTAATGCTTGAAGAAGTGCACGAATATTTTTAAAAGAAATCCAACAACCATGTGCAACAGACGAATATTCGAAATTATAGTCAAATAGATGAACAAGAATATAAAGAAAAGATATAATCCATTGAACAAATATTGCAACAAAAAAAACGCCAGGTGATTGTAATCTCCTTAGTTTATAGAAGACTATTCGAAATAGCCGAAAAATAGCTTGGAGAAGGCATGAATAAAAATATGCACAAATAAAAACATGAAGAAAATATCCTCGTAATTGACACAAATAATTATTACAAGAATCACAAGAATTTAAATCAGCATATATACTATAACCATAGACAATCAACATCATCAAAGATCCTAATACTAAAGTTGAATATGTATTGCATGTGAGAATAATTGGAACTTTTGATAATAATTGTTGAATACGAATGTAGATGATGATTAGACTAATAATGGAAACAAGAAAAGTTATAGCTGTTAAAGTAAAAATAATGCCGTTAAGAAATAATTCCGTGTTCATGGTCGTAAATGAAGTATGTTAATTTGAGTAAATGTACACATTGAATCATAGATATATTGATTAGAAATCTAAGTATTGAAAGAATATTTTATGATCATAAACAAAAATGAAGATAAAATATTACTATGATCTGTGCTTTACTTTCTTTCAGAAGATAAAAACTTACTATTTCATGAGTCTTAAAATATCTAGGAAAGCAAAATTCACAATTGATAATACAGAGTAGATATTAATGTTTGTCAGTTTGAACGATACTAAAAATCTTATCTTTCCACTTTTAAAGCACAATGTTTATCTTGTAAAAAGAATATAGCGATGTCACAATCAACATTGGAAATCCGATTTTCTCCTGATGAAATAAGAATTATACTAAAAATAAACCGATGTATTTTCCGGGTATTAAAAAAAAACGTAGAAAGAAAAACATGTCACAGAAGATTAGCAAGCGTTCTGTTCTAGAAGAACAACTAAAAACAAGTAAATTGAGTAAAATTTTCTTGATATGTCTCGTTGTTTCATTTGACAAGATGTATTTAGATACTTGTATGTATTACTATATGAGTGATACAACCGTACTTGGAAAAATGTCAGACTTCATTGTATTTTAACAGAAAATGATGAAGAGCTCATTCGTTTCTATTCATTAACTGATATCAAGATTCATTCAACTAATAAAAGCCTTGCCTGACAAGTAGGTTGTAATCCAATTTAACTCTGACATGGCAACCTTAAAGACTCTCACTTATTGTCAATCTGGAGTCCGTACGGACTTCAATTGAATAAAACAGGTGTAATACACGAAGTTGATGTTATATAATATTAGAACTGTGGAGATTCTGTAGAGGACCTCACTACAACAATAACAACAAATAGAAATGCTTCCATTTTTAGTTCTTTTATTCCTTTCTTTTTTTCTAACTGCACAATAACTCAAAGAGACATAAGAGATCGTACAGCTAATCAAGAAAGAGAATTTTATCTGGAATATTACTGAGAACAGAGAAAAATAGCCATGAAGTAAAGAACAACAAAAGCGAACAAGTACATTCGTTGAAAAACAAGTATACATGAATGTCAATCTATTAGAATTTAGTCTGTGGACGCATGAAACCAAATGAGCACTCATTAGCAAATATATTCTATGCCGTCATTTTTGTGATAGAAAGCTTAGTCGAAAGTCAAATGTGTTTTAAACGATGCAGAAAAAAATGCAGAACAAAATGTGATATCCTTTTTTCACGAAAACAGAATATCTAGGCATTTTCCGATAGTTGTTACTCTAACCGAATCAATACTCATTGAATGATTACAATAGAAGTGTCACTGCACTTCGAAATGCGCCTCTAGTCAATAATCAAAATAATGCTGACTCTGCTTGTAATATTGTACTAAGTATTTATCGAAAAGATGAGCTCTTAAAACAGAGTATTAAGTGCATATGTGAAAGTATTGCTGATCCACTAAAGAGTGGTTCAGTCATCATGTAGTGATTGTAGATCAAACTGTTTTCTAACATTTATTAGATGGGATCAGGCGAACTCAGGATGCACAAAAAGCGTTCACATGTACACTGAAAAAAAATCCGTAGAATAATAAGCGCTTAAAGAGTTTATAAAAATGCCACGTATGAAAAAACCCTTTTTTTACCGCTTATGAAACTGTTCCAAACTCTTTTATGTACCCTTTAAAAGGGTATATCAAATGGATTATGAATAACAAATATCCGTCGTCAAAGCTTTATGAAACGGTTTATAAAATGCATAAACCCAAAAAGAGATTATTACACGTTGCATTTTCATAAACTCTTCGAAAGGGTTCATGAGTTGTATAAACACTATCATATGACCTTAAAATCGATTATCAAAAGGGTACATGAAAGGATTCAAGAAGTATATCAACTCTGTGAAGGATTCATCAAAGGGTAGATCGAAGGGTTCAAAAAGTGTATCAACCTATGAAAGGGTAGATGGAACGATTCAAGAAGCGTATCAATCTTATAAAAGGTTTATCAAAGGATAGATGAAAGAGTTCAAGAAGCATATCAATCCTATGAACGGTTTATGAAATTGCAGAGGAAAGGATTCAAGAAGCGTATAAATTCTATGAAGGGTTTATGAAATAATAGATGAAACCGTTCATGAGGTTCCTCAATCCTATCAAGAGTTTATGAAATGCTATAAATAAGTGATCACGACAGTCATCAATTCTTACAAAGGTTTATGACGAGCCACAAACAAGCGTTCAGAGTAATCACTATCTTCCAAAAGTTTCAAAGACGGGAAAAACAATGCCTTTACTTAAGAAGCTACAAAACCTTTACAAAAGGATCATTAGACCATTGCCGATGGTCAGAAATTCGTTGAAAACAAATACAAAACTCGATAGCACTCAGTTATTTATCCACAACAGTGGGTCAACTGATTATAATCAAAAACAGTCCGAATCTAATTGATTTCATTTTCGGTCGCTCATAGGATACGAAATAACTACCCAGACAATTCAATGGAAAGAAGAAAAGTACAGAAAACACTCTTATGCAATTTGTCTCATAAGACGTGGAAAACCTGCCATGATAACTTAATGAAGAAAACGAAACTTGAAAGAAGTTAATTTTCCGATTTGCCTAATTAGATACTGGAAACCTATCAAAATAACGTAAAGAAGAAAACGATGATGGACTTACTCGATCTGTATCATAAGGTACCGCAAAACTGTCGGAATTACGAAATGAAGAGGGGAGGGGGGTGTTTTTCAAGAACACCCACACTTACCCACATCCTTAATTTTCTTTTTGTTTGAAAACGCACATCAAGACGCAGTGCAATACAGAGCCTTTTTTTTTTATTAAGCTTTGCTTTTACTATATGTATCAACATTTATTAAATTAGAACGTCATTTTTCGAGAGTTTTTTGAGTCATTGAATTTTCGATCCCTTTATTTCCATTAAAAAGTAAAAATTAAAAGGAAAGGGCTCTGTACTACACTGCATCTTGATATGCTCTTTCAAACAAACAAAAAAATGATTTATGCAGAATGAATCTGGACAGACAGATTTGGTTTGCCAAATGGGCTATTTTTGGTCCTTGTTTGGTCAGTATCTACCTGAAACATCATGATATCGGGCTGAAAATTTCATGCAATTTGAACGTTCCTAGGTTGAGATCGATTTTTGAGGGAGGGAACTTTAAAGAAGAATCATAGTTTATAGTTCAATTGTTTTCAATGAAGTTGTCGATTTTTATACGAAATGCTTCATCAGTTCAATATCAATGTTATGAAGAATTTTAATCTTGCTTGTTTGTTTCTATCGCTGGTGCAAGTCTATCAGCCTATAAACGGCTAACTTTATCGGTCAATCACTAACACGCCGTTTGCTTTATGTATAATTTTAGCCTATAATTTTCTTTATAATTGCTTAAAAAAGACAGAAAGTTTGTTACATCTGTGAAAAAGCTGTCCTTAATGGGAATGTTTAGTATAGAGTGATGGCTTACATTTAATAGCATCACCTTAACATGTTCCAACGTTAAATATGTCATAAAGAAGATTTTCAAAAGGAAAAGAAATTCTTTTTTTATATTTGTCTAATTAATAATGGATTTGCATGATACAAAAATTCGATGCAATTTCTAAGGCTTTTCGAACGCTCATGTAGTCTTGAAGTCTAATGAAATCTCTGAAGTCTCATGAAGTTTTTTGAAGCTTTCTGAAAACTTTTGAAGATTTGAAGTCCTCTGTTTCTCCTTCGATTAAACCCTTTTCACAAAAACGGTAAATAATAAACCCTTAAATGCGTGCAATATATCCTTCCCATTTTCATATACTCTTACTGTCATAAATGCTTGAGTTAATAAACCCTTCAAGAGTCTATAGAAAATTCTTTTTAGTACAACGGTTCATTATTCTACAGATTGTTTTCTTAGTGTATTTCAATATACTTTATCACGTTAACAGCAAATGATAGTGACCAGCTGATGTTATCAGCTTACCGTACCATATTTCATTAAGGCATATTCAGAGGAGCGCATTTCGATCTAATGTTATTGTGCAAATAACATTGATTGGAAACCCCTTGGGATCCAGACAGACCCAAGATTGCCATGCCAAGGTTAATTGAGATAGTTATTAGTAAAGAGATTAATCGCTCTAGTAAAGTGTAGCAATAATTTATTGGAAAGAAAATTTCTCAAGTGTCTATATTACTCAAAATCAGAACATCATTTTCTTATTCCGATATTTACGATTCTATTATACAATTGTTTGAACTGTACTATATGAGAAGGCAAAAGGGTATGTTAACATTGGGTCGTGTGTTTCTTAAATAAATCATACTTACGTTCTTTTCTTTCTTTACGATCGATCTTCTTTGTGCAAAAACAAAGATCATCATTGTCCAATTGAAATAAATCAATCAGATAAGCTCGATATGGCAAAATAGAGCAATTAAATAGAAAAGAAAAAAAAAAGAAATATTTGTTCAAATAGTTACACGGACACAAACAGATGTCTTAATAATTGAAAATTTGTAGATGATGACAAAAAATACAATATTTTTACATAAGTATTTCCTCTGAATAAAAACTATGAATGTTATGCCTCATCAATAGAAAACAATATAAAAGATGAAAAATTTCGATTGTTTGTTCATTAATGGAATATATCTTGCTCTCAAAATCACCATTTTGAAGAAAACAAATTTCAATTAGGTTAGAATGCTAATCTAACAGCTGACGATGCATTTCTTTATATAAAATTAGAAGCTACGCATAAAATGTATGTTAATTTATCATTTTACATAGATGCGTGTACAGTAGTCAACATATGTGTAAGCCCCCTGAGTTATATTTAGAGACCCGTGGGACAAACTTTTTCGTGTCCTAAATCCTGTTTGTTCCGTTGACCAACAACAATATACAGATATTGCATCTTTCTATACAATCATTAGAAAAACCGGTTAATATAAGCTACATCCAAATTCATTGTATTCATTGTCGACACTACCGATATGAATTAAAACAGTTCACATTGACAGTACCGAAAATAGATAAAATGAATTTGGATGTAACTTATCTCAATCGTAGAACACACATATATGTTTTGATGATTAGCAAACAAATAAAGGCATTGTGTAATAATTTCGAGAATTAGAAAATAATAAGTTGAACTATTTTTGTAACTCTTTATTCAACACCTGCAACATCGAATAAAAAAAATTAAATTGACAGCAGATAATCAAGAAGAAAATGAAAGAACATCTGAGGAAGATAATGATAATGAACAGTTTTAAATATATCTTTCAATATTTCTTTTACTCTGTTTTTCTATTAGTCATTTAAATACGAAGATATTTGTTATAGATAAAAAAAATTAAAGTCACAACATATTTTGATATACTAATTACAAAATTCGGGACATTTTGTTTTTTCTGTATTATCCCGAATCCCGTTTGTTCCACAGGACAGAACAAATAGAATTTTTCGGAATTCGTGACTGTCCTGAAGGACTCTTGTTATATTACCGGTCTCTTCTTCTAAACAATGCAAATGTTAAAAGAAAAAAATAATAAAGTGATTGAAAAGACTAAAAGATATCCTATAAAATACTCGATAAGTCTAAATATGGATTGAATAATCGGCAAAATACATTCATATTTTCTGTTCGTCTTACGCATTCATGTAATTTTTTTAAAGATCGATCTTAATATTACATTTGAGCATAGATACTTCTACATAAGTTGATGGACAAAGAAACAGTGTGAGGAACTTTTATGAACAACAAATACATCTTTATTTAAAAACGAAAACAGTATAGAAGGCGAGAACACTCTATTTCAGTCTTAGTCAACAGATTCAATTAATTAATATTATATACAGCTACATTATACTGCTGCAAAGAATCCATGTAAAATTAGTAGCTATGAAAAAAGATTTAAAAAAATCTATTATAATCTGATTTTAATCAGATTTCTTAATCATAAAGACAGATTTCTTTTGGTTTTAATCTTTTTTTAATCTATTTTGATCGGTTAACAAACTTTAAATCATTCAGAATCGATTTAGTTTTAATAATTGATTAAAACAGATTTTAAAAAGATTCAAATCAAAAGAGATCTGTGTTTAAGATTGAGAAATCTGATTAAAATCAGATTATAATAATGCCATTATAATCAAGTTTTAATCTTTATTTTTTACATGTGAATAACGTCATCTACTGCCAAGTAGTTGTCTAGGTAGTCAATAGAGAAATGTTCTTTAAACAATATTGAGTAATATAAACTCTTTTAGTGAAAAATTTAGGAGAAAAGTCAAATATGTCAACAGATTTCCATAGTTATTCTCAAGTGTGTGCTATTATCAATAGTATTCATGTAAAAAAAAATTGTAAATATTTTGTTTACAAAGTGACATTAGAGAAAACTAGGTTTTTGAGTATGGATTTTTTATTTCAACATATATGGTACACATATACACGTTATGGAATAGTTTAGGTACAGAACATATATATATCTCAGTGTATTCCATCATCGCTTATTGTACATGTTGGGTCATCTATCATAAGAAATTATTATTGGGTTGTATTAGGAATCCATCATGGCATTTATAACTCTAAAATTATATAACCATATTATAAATACTGGATATTTTTATAATAAATAGTAAAAAGTGTCGAACACAATCAAATTCTAAAGCACAATATAACTATTTAAGTTATTATAACTAATCTTACAGAGAGTAAATCTATGGGAAACGTACCACTTTATACACGACTTTCTCAGAATCGTCTCATATTTCCACCGTTTGTGAAGCTCAATGAGCTGATCATTATGGTAATAAATTATCAAAAGTTTGAATATAAAATCAGGTTGAAATGAGCAAAATGCGATTTTTGAAATTTGGGAAAAACCATAGCCGAACTGAAAAGTTCTGGATTTTGTGAGAACATTTTCTTTTTCATTTTACGACCAAACGAGAATATTCTTTTTATATTCTAATAGCTCGCGTTCAGCTCTATCGAACCATATATGAATCAAATTGTTCAGGTTCCCAAAGTAAAAGTTTTAATGGGAGTAGAATAATTTCATTGCTACACAAACTTTATCTTCGAATAAGAAACCTCATCTGAATTTGGATGAATTGTGGCATAGTAGGTTTTGTAGAGCGTCTCTCACTCTATCTTCTGGTATATAGGGCTGCTCAGTCGGTTTCGATTTTCGTTGATTTGAGGACCAAGATTTTATTTCTTACCGTTTGTAATAGCTCTGAGCTCATATTGCAGGACTTTTTCATTAAAAAATTCGATGGATTAGTCTGAAAATTGAAATACAGATTGGTTTCAACTAGTTGAATAAAAGTCTTGCGAGATTGTACGAAGTACTGTATTGTCTTTTATACTCTCTTATAACAGTAAAAGGGTGTGGGTGTGGGTGTGGGTGCGGCTCATGTTTACAATTTATTCCACACCGAGTTGCACACCCACTAATGTTCCATGCATTTATCTTTATTTCGATATTTCTGACAAAAATGGACTTTTTGAGAGTAGGGACAGGGAGACTTAACAAAATCACTGAAATATCGGTTGTTTTTCTCCGAGTAAGATTCACTTTTGTTAGTTTTCATTAAAATTAGCTAACGTAAATGATATCGAACTAAAATATATGTCGATAATGTTACGCATTAGCCATCGATATTGATGTAAAGATGCTTGAGAAGATTCAATGCATTCTTGTAGTGAATCATCGCTTCTTTCTTGTGATCCATTTTCATGTGGAGATCTTTTAGTCGATTTTCCGTTATCGCTGTTTCGAATTGATAGATTGGCGTAAAATGTTGATTGATATCCAATGCAGTGGCATACATGGCTAAGGCTAGATCCATTTCCTGTTGTCGCTCGTAGATATCTCCTAACAGTCTAATAAATATCAAATAAACGATCGAGCATTATCGATTCAATAAAGATACTTACCGATAAGTTTCCGACAATGTTTGATTTTTCATTTGTTCCTTCGCAGTATCCTCACTTTCCGGTTGAAAAATAGTGATTTGCTTGAAATAAGTTAAATTACTGTCAGATAAAGTTGCTGATGATTTTGATAAATTTGCTTGCATTAGAAAACTAACTGTTTTATTTCCATGATCAAGAGCAGATTGATCATCTTCGAGTTTAACATGAGTCATCGTCAACCATTGATGACAAAAGGCTAATTCCCAGAAATCTTCCGGTGCGTATGTTTCATAAAACTGTACCGATTTTTGAAAATGATCCAATGCTCGTTCATGTTTATTATGATGAAGAGAAAAGATTTGCCCAAGATAGCGATGCGCCAAAGCGTAACTATCAAATGCACAATGTTCGATTGGATAGGTGACAATTCGTTCAAAACATTTTTGAGCTTTGTCGATTAGACGAAGTTCTTTATAATAACGAAGGCCAATATGGAATAAAATACCAGTAAGAAGACAGCGAACTTGTTGAACGAACATCGGCGATAGAGATTCAACAACAAACACAGCATCATAGACGTCAATTGCTTTCAAATAATATTTATGACTATCATCAGTCCATGCATTTTCGAAGGAATAGCAATTACCGATGATTGCATAGCACAGAGCCAATGCGGCTTCATCGATGGGTGTGATATGATTTTCGTAGAGATCCAATGCTTTTTCATAATTAGCTCGAGCTGTTGTAAAACATGTAGATATTTCGATTGCTTGAAGTTCAATTGAATGGCCGATTTGCATTCGACATTGTGCTTGGAAGATCGGAGGTAAATCATCAGTGTAAGTGAGAGCTCGTTGAAAAAAATCGATTGCTTTTGAATGTTGATGCATCTTGCTGTAGGTCAAACCTAGATAGAAACAACAAATCATGGTATGAAATCGATCGGTTGTATCATTTTCATTCCAGATGCGTGTCCATTGTTTGATTGAATAAGAATAATTGCCGCCTTTGAAATGTACCATTCCCAAGGCACGTTGTGACAAACGGACGAATTCATTTCGATCATCAAGACTGAACAAATGTTCCGACAAAGTTAAATGCATTGTTGCTTGGCAGAGGACTTTTTGTTGTTCAAGTTCGAGCGGCTGTTTCGGACCGACTTTTAGTATTAATTCCGCAGCTTGAATATAGTTTAAAAGAGCTGCATCATCTTGTTTGATTTTGCTTGTCGGTACTTGAAGTACTGCCAATTCGAATCGATGTAAATAATTGAATAGATCATTCAAATGGAGAAGAGCATCAAATGGATTTATATTTGGTGTGACAGACCACATCTGATCGAATCCAGTTGAATCATATAATCGACGTTGATCAATACTCTGTTGAATGCAAGCCATACCATTGTCGTTGGTCATCTTCATTCGAACACGCCAATAGGGAATCTGATTTTCTTGTTCTTCAATGACACTTTCAATTTGAAATGTTGCATCAAGATCAAAGAGAACTTCTTCTTCGTTCGGATTTTTAGAAAATCGACTAATATCAGCGAGAACCTGTTCGCTGGCATTTAAATCAACTTCAATATCGAATAGAATCGATTCGCCATTCAATTCTTCAGGCGTTTGACCGATAGAAGCGAAGATCTTTGCTATTTGTTCCCGTCGACTCATCGACCAATAGCCATTAGTCGAAACAATTTTTCCTTGATTTTGTTCAAGTTCACACCGACGAGAATGTGAAACAACTTGACCACGATATAAATGAACAAAATATCCAAGTTCTAAACAATCACGCCAAATTTTCCAATCTTCCGATAAAAATCGACTTAAATCTCGTATGTAAAATCGAAGTACATATAAACATTCAAGATCTTGCGTGCGTAAAGCTCGATTGATCAATCTATAGACAAATGAATCTTCTGTATACCATTGAATGGCAATATTCGATTGATAATCGTGTTCGAATCTTTGAATATCATTGGCATATGATGTTGGATATTGTTTCTGACAAAGCGTGATCAGCTCTGATTTAGCATTGCTGTCTTCAAAACATTGATCCGTATTGAGAAGGATTTGTTTATACATCCGATAGTACAAAATACGGAATGATTCATTCCTCACATCACGTTGAGATCTATTTATCGATGTATCCAATAATAATTCACCACTGGTACGTTGATTTTCAAGTTTCCTAGCGATATAACTGTCAACATCTTGAAATAAGGAACTCAAGTCATCGAAGTTGTTCCAATGAAAAAAGACAATATTATTATTCTCCGTGCACTTCGATGGCAGGAGTGCAGCACAATCTTGACGAGAGATTAAAATGATCTTTTCGAACTGAGATGTTTCCAAATAGTGTGACAAACAATCGATTTTGGAATAGAAAAGAACAAAACGATTGAGAGTATGGAGGCGTTTTCTTAGTTGTTGAGTTTGATCATCGTCAATAATGAGATCAGTATCGAACCAGATTAAAGTCAAATCTTGTCTCTTGCGTAATTCAATATGAGGACAAGGATTAAGAACTGATGCAGCTTTTTCAGGATAAGAGATTGAGTCCTGAGATACAATGTTACCAGTACTATCACAGAATCCCAATTTGAATTTCAGTGATGTTGTTGACGAATTCATTCGATTCGATTTGTTTTTTACATATGCAAGAGAAATACTTCGCTTTCTTTTACTTCCATTCTCTTTTGTTGTATTTACATTTTTAATGCAATTTTAAACTAATGCGTCTCACTCTGATTTATATTTTCATTGGTGCATCAAGATAATAACAATAGAAACGTTCTCTTAAGTAAACTTATTGTATAAACATTTTAAAAAAAACAAATCCAAAGTCGTCAGAATGATACCGTCGATTTTCTCGGAATAAATTACTCTATTCGTATTTTGAATATTTCTTCTTTATTATTCTTTTGATAAAAACATTCTTTTTTCTATCAAAGACAGGGTGTGGATGACAATGAAGAGAAGACGCTCACACCCACACCCTTTCATTCAAATTGATAAATTAAAACTACATGAATATAATTATCACTCTTATTGAATAATAATCATTTGACTTGAAAAAAATGTTTTTGTTTTTTGTAATTGTTAGAAAAAGTACTGATGTACAAAATAGTAAAAAAATGGTCGATAGGATACAAATTTTATAATTCTTGATGTATTTCAATTTAGAATAAAAACTTCATATTGTAAAATTTAATTTTCAGAATATCACGATCAATTATTTACTTCAATCAATTGTTTTTTCAATAATCTTGCTATTAATAGACAAACAACAGTATTGAAATTAGAATGTGTACTATAAGATGAATAAGATAAACGTACCTTTTTTTTAAAAGTATTATTTGATGCTGAATTATTTTTGAAAAGTTCTAGAATACTTTACAAATCAAAAGACATAATCATTATATAATTTTTTTTCACAACTTTTAATAATATTCTTATTGATCTTATGAATGTGAGTATAGGGTATTGTGTACTCTTTACCCATATCCAAATTCGGAATAACTTCGAAAACAGATATGGGTAACATAAAGAGAAATGATACGGGATTGGATTTATTTATTATCAGACTGTAAAAACAAAGTAAAATAATTAAATTATAATCTCGAAACGATAGTATCGGAATTATTCAATGAAATATGTTTATGAACTACATATTCACGACGTAAGATTGCTTTCAATGCATTTTCAAAGTTTACATTAGTCAAATGTTCGAATTCAGAGGTCTTCATCATGTGTAAAAATGCTAAATTTCCTTCTTTTCGAGTAAGAATCGCTTTTCGCATGATAATTAACGATGGATTGTGAATCAGTAATAGAGCTAAACGCCATTTTTGACGTGTTTTCGATGATCGATTGCTTTGTTTCGTTCTTTGATGAACTAGAAGAATACTAACAAATGCCAACATAATTGGATTTCGATGAATTGCTTCCATTTGAATGAAACCTAAATAGGCCAAAAAACCTGCATCACCATAATCGAGCTGTCGACCTAATGGTGAATAGTCGAGACGTGCCATATAAATGATTGTTGTTAGAAAACTATTCGTAATACGTGTAAATGATGCAGCCAAGCCGAGAAAGGCATCAAGAAAAAAATTAAAATACAATAAAATCATCGATACACGATGATTGTTAATAGCAAGAATCTGGTTTCGTTGTTGTAAGAAAATATATTTGGCAACAAATAGATTGAGATAAACTTTAAAAATACTCAAAAGAGATACTGGGATGCTCTCAGTTAGAATTTGTCGAAATAATTTTTCATTATTTTCAATTAATTTACCAAAAAAATAAGAAATGAAAAATGCTAATATGAAACATAGAATATAACCCCAAACTGCATAGCCAATAAAAAAGCCAGCAAAATGGAGATTTCCTGTTGCATACAAAAGATTCTTTAAATTGTCTCTTTTCGGTATTTCAGTATAATTGCCACGAAATATTTGTAATAAATGGCGTCGAATACTTGTTAATAGGACAACTATTTGAACGACAGTGATGATGAGTGCAGTAAACACAGCGATGAAAAATGGAACTTTTACTGTTGATACGGAAGAAGTAGAGGATATCTGGTTTTGTGATGCATTGGCCTGACTATCGATTGAATTTACATATATAAAATCAGTTAATCTTTCAATCATGATTTGCCAATATGGCAGATTGGGTAATTCTTCAACAATCAATTTAATAGTAATAACGAATAGTACGAGAAAAAGAGCGGCATAAATACAAAAAATACGTGATGAAAAACGGAAATCATCACGCCATTCATAGATAGATTTTGGTACTAAACGAGCTATGAACGATCGACTTGGAGAACGTATATTAGCGGAACGAAAAAGATTTCTTACATAGAGCGTTTCAACAGAATATGGTTGTACAGCAATAAAAAATGCTTGTTCTTCTTGTGTATGCTTCAATTCATATCTTTCTTTATTACATCGGTATTGACGAATCTTATTGATGACCATCATGGGCAATCGAATGCTCACATAAGCCAAACATAAGTATCGTGGAATATCAATACAAAGTTGAATAGCAATTAAATTCGAACCAGTACCGTAGTAGGATAGATATTTAATGATATCAAGTGAAGAATTTGTTGTTTGATAATCACTTTCAGTTGGATAATAAGAGTTTGGACAATAACCTTGATGAAGAACTGTAATGATAAAATAGAGCCAAGTATAAATTGTTGCACAGGTTAATGTAAAAATAGTATCGATATAAACAGCAGCTAACATAGGATAGTACCAAATGCAGATAACAAGCACTAGAGCTATATTTTTTAAGTATTGGATGATCGAACCTATAGTAATCAATAAGAAACATGTTGGTAATCAAATTTTTGTGAATACAGTCAACTTATCAGAATATATTCCTGAGAGTAGTATAACACAATGCAAAGTTCTAATGAGAAAAAAAAACTGATTTTTGTTTTTTGGCTTCTCATATTCAAGATATTCAGTCGTCTCATGATCGACATATGAAATATTTCTCTTAAATATTGTACCGTTTTTTCTAGTTCTTTCTTGTTGAAAAGCTTCGAGAATAATAATTAACAAATGATTGGACATGATAGCAAAGACTACAGTGACATATGTTCGTTTGATATGAATGAAAAAATTGAGAGGAACAATCGGTGCTACATAGCCTCGACATGTATCACGTTTGAAAGAAGTTCGTTTTGAAATAATGACGAAAATAATAATCAATACACAAGCAGCTGGAAATGTGAATATATTGAGACTTTGATCGTCGACGTATGAACAAAA